TGTAGCACTGAGGAAGAGCTGATACTCCAGTGTAGCACTGAGGGAGTACTGATACTCCAGTGTAGCACTGAGGAAGAGCTGATACTCCATTGTAGCACTGAGAGAGTGCTGATATTCCAGTGTAGCACTGAGGGATTGTTGGTATTCCAGTGTAGCGCTGAGGGAGTGCTGATACTCCAGGGTAGTGCTGATGTTGAGCTGATACTCCAGTGTAGCACTGAGGAAGAGCTGATACTCCAGTGTAGCGCTGAGGAAGAGCTGATACTCCAGTGTAGTGCTGATGGTGAGCTGATACTCCAGTTTAGCGCTGAGGGCATGTTGTTTTGCAGCCAGTTGATGCCCTGGTGTGGGTAGAGCTGACATTCTGAACCTTTTCCAGCTACATCAAGCCTGGTTCTTGATTTCCAGAAGGAGAGACCCAATGGGCTAAAGGCTTTTTTTCTCATTTGAACTTTGACCTTTGCCTGCTCCCATGGCAGCATGCTTTCCCATTCGTTAAACACATTGACCTCTCACCTGTTTGTCTTCACTTTTGTTCAGTTTGAAAACCGGATTGAACCCACGCGGAGAGCAACCTGCATCACATACAAGAGGCTGTTGTCCTGCCTTCACGGTCAGCAGGGTTCTGATTTTGATAAGCGCTTGGTGAGTAAGGAAATTCCTTGGTCACATTATGTCAGGTAGTTCCAATAATCCAATTCCCATCCAAGTCCCACTCCTCCACTGCTCATTACAAAGGCTGAATTTAAAAAGTGTGGTGATATTGGCAGTCACATTGATATCTGAGATAACAAGGTGTAGAGCTGGATGAACACAGCAGGCCAAGCAGCATCAGAGGAGCAGGAAGGCTGACATTTCAGGCCTAGACCCTTCTTCAGAAATGGGTTGATATCTGACTGTATTTACTTCAGCATCAGAAACAGATTAGCCAGGTGTCTAGATAACAAATAAAGAAATAGTTTATTGCAAGCTAAACATACTTACTTGAAGATTCAAAGATCCTTAAAAAAAGGTTTAGACTCTTTCACATGGACTTTCTCTCTCAAACACACACACTCTCTCTCACACTCTGTCTCACACATCAAACACACACACACTCTCATACTCACTCTCAAACACACGCACACTCTCACACTCTCTCTCAAACACATACACAGTCTTTCATACTCTCAAACACACACACACACTCTCACTCGTTCTCAAACACACACACACTCTCTCTCAAACACATAATCTCTCTCACACTCTCTCTCAGACACACACACACACTCTCACATTCTTTCTCGAACACACACACTCTCTCTCAAACACACAAACACACTCTCACATTCTTTCTCAAACACACACACTCTCTCTCAAACACAAACACACTCTCACATTCTTTCTCAAACACACACACACTCTCTCACATTCACATACACACACACACTCTCTCACACTCTCTCTCAAACACATTCTCTCTCTCTCTCTCACGCATGCCCTCTCTTACACACATACTCTCTTGCTCTCACATTTTGTCTAACACACATTCTCTCTCACTCTCTCACACTCCCTCTTTCTCACTCTTTCTCTCACACACACCTTCTCTCTCTTTCATATGTACACAGATAAAAACATTTGAGAAAGGAAGGTACAACTCCGCAGGGTGTTTTCTGAAAAATTCTTCGGCGAGGTGGCCATTAACTCAGAAGAAAAGAAACAGCCGTTCATTGTTTCAAACGTTGACCTACAGCCGAAGTTACACACAAGCTCTTGGCACTGGAATACCCCCCTGGATCAGTTATGGCTGGATGAAATCTCTTTTCTGGAGACAGTAAGGTAGATTCCAAAACCTTCTTCAGGAACCCTTCACGAGTGGCAATGAGGCCTTCCAGTGGGTTTTTGACTCACAACACCTTATGAAAGGAATTTCATGGAAAGAGAGAATGAGATTAAAGGATTGCTGCTCATCAGGCAAATTATTTCAGACTTTATGTCTGTCTGGGTTAAAAATTCAGCTGCACTATGACACTAATAACTGGATCATGTGACCACTTTCTGTCAGGATTGGAGACATCACATCTCCATCCAAACGGCCTGGTCCTTGCAAATGCAGTATTGTTGCTGTTGTGTTCATGGCCTTTTGCTTTGCAAAGTGTCCTTTTCCGAATTGCGAAAAGATATATATGTTATCCTGACATATGATATGATAGATTAATATTTCAGCTATCACATCTTTCTAACAACATAGACATTGACTCATGGAGCTGAGTGGCCTATTCCTGTGCTGTGAAGACTGGGCTTTGCTGTAGAAACTGGAAATTTGTAACATCAACCTAATATTCCCTGTGCCGAGACTACCTCATTGAAAGAATTTATCAATATTGACAATCTGATAACTGTTATTTTACAGACTTCTGTCAACATACACTTCTCTTGCATATATAACCCAAGTGTTTTAAGCTGGGTATGGAAGGTTTGAGTGAGAAAGAAAGGCTGCGACTTTTTATACTGGAGCGTAGGAGGTTGAGAGGCAACCTGATGGAAATTTATACAATAATGACGGGTATATTTAGAGTTGATGGTAGTTGTCTTTTCCCTAGGTTGGGGGATTTAAAGACTAGGGGGCACATTTTTAAGGTAAGGCAAGAGAGATTTTAAAAAGACATGAGGGGCAAATTTCTTTACACAGAGGGTGGTTCGTGTGTGGAATGAATTTCCTGAGGAAGTGGTGGATGTGGATGTTACAACATTTAAAAGACATTTGGACAAGTACATGAATAGGAAAGGTTTGGAGGGAAAGAGCCAGAATCAGGCAGGTGGGACTAGTTTAGTTTGGGATTATGTTCAGCATGGACTGGTCGGACCGAAGGGTCTGTTTCCGTGCTGTGTGACTCTATGGCTCTCTGTGCAAGGGACTAATCTTTAAGAGAGGCCCAAACAAGACCTGATCTGACTCCAACTATTGCTTGCTCCGCTGTCTGACCCATACACACTGTCCTGGGCAAGCCCTATGCTCTCCACTCACACTTTCCCTTTGGTATCATACTGGTTGAGGACTTTGGAGAGCTAGGGCCTTAATGAATGACAAAAGTTGGTTTGCAGGTGCAGCAGGTAATTCAAAAGTCAAATGGAGTATTGTCCTTCCTTGCGAGAGGAATGGAGTTTAAAATCAGGGAGGTTATGTTGCAACGGTATAAGGTGCTAGTGAGACCACACCTGGAGTACTGTGTACAGTTTTGGACTCCTTAGTTGAGAAAGGATGTACTGGCACTGGAGGGGGTGCAGAGGATGTTCGACAGGTTGATTCCAGAGTTGAGAGGGTTCCCTTATGAGGAGAGATCGAGTAGACTTGGGCTATACTCATGGGAATTTGGAAGAATGAGGGGGATCTTATAGAAACATATAAAATTATGAAGGGAATAGATAAGAGAGAAGCAGGGAGGATGTTTCCACTGGCAGGTGAAACCATAACTAGGGGGCACAGCCTCAAAATAAGGGGGAGCAGATTTAGAGCTGAGTTGAGGAGGAACTTCTTCACCCAAAAGGTTGTGAATCTGTGGAATTCCCTGCCCAGTGAAGCAGTTGAGGCTTCCTCATTGTATATTTTTAAGACTAAAAGATAGATAGATTTTTGAACAGTAAAGGGTTTAAGGGTTATGGTGAGTGGGCGGGTGAGTGGAGCTGAGTCCACAACAAAGATCAGCCATGACCTTTGTGAATGGCGGAGCAGGCTCAGAGCAGGCCCCTATTTCTTACGTTCTTATGTTCTTCCTACATCTAAGGCAAGGCTACCCATGAGCTGCTTTGTCTCTGTGGCTCCATGCCCCCACTCTGTCACAGCCCAGGGCCCCTGCAATCCTAATGTTTCTTTCTTTCTGGCACAGAAAAAGATGCCGTTGATGACACTGTCACAGAGCATGGAGGACAGCAGCAGAGAGTTGGACAACGAGTCTGCCATTAGGTGGGTATGAAGCCACTGGCTCTCATCGCAGGCTGAGACAAAACCATGGGATGGTCAACGCCTAACACTGTGGCACGAGTGCTCGCAGGGCTGAGGATAAGAGGCACCGATTCGATCACCTAACCAGTCATGCCCTCATCCCATTAATGAATATTAAAAATAATTTAAATTAACAACTGATCCAGCATCCACTTCCATTTGTGGAAGAGAGTTCCAAACCGCTCCCACCCTTTGTGTAAAGAAGTGCTTCCTGACATCTCTCCTGAATGGTCTGACCCTAATTCTCAGACGATAAATGTAAGCCTCCTTTCTCCCCAGCCCACCTATATCCGTGTCTATTTCGGATATCCCTAGCTGGTAGTAATCAGACAGGTAGACACCATTCATTTCCATCATGCCTGCTCCACCATCTGCTTGCCCAAGGCTGATCTGTTTTGCTCCAGACTCCTGGAAATTCTCAACCATCAAAAATCGATTGTAAAACCTATGATTCCTACAACGCTTCATAATATCATTCCTGAACAACCTTCTTCTAATGTTAAGATTTTTTTCCCTCAATCTGCATTATCCCAACAGGAACAATTTGGTTTTGATGGTAGGCGGAGGTGGTAATGCCAACAGGGAGTGGTTAGGGAGTGGTTAACAGTACGGGTTCAGTTCCCACACTGCCTGAGGTTACTGTGAAGGACTGTCCTTCTTAACCTTTCCCCTTGATGCGGAGGTGTCGCTGTTGGACTGGGGTGGACAAATTCAGAAGTTGCATGACACCAGGTTATAGTCCAACAGGTGAAGGAGCAGCGCTGCGAAAGCTTGCGATTTCAAATAAACTTGTTGGACTATAACCTGGTGTCGTGTGACTTCTGACCTCTCCCTGTGCCTGAGGTGTGGTGACCCTCAGATTAAAACACCACCAGTCACCCCCTCTCTCTCTTTCTCTCTCTCTCTTTCTTTCTTTCTCCCTCTCTATCTTTCACTCCCTCTCTTTTTCTCTCTCTCTCTTTGTCTCTCTCTCTTTCTCTCTCTCTCACTTTCTCTCTCTCTCGTTCTTTCTTTCTCCCTCTCTATCTTTCACTCCCTCTCTTTTTCACTCCCTCTCTTTTTCTCTCTCTCTCTTTCTCTCTCTCTCTTTCTCTCTGTCTTTCTTTTTCCTTCTCTCTCTCTTTCTCTCTCCCTCTCTTTTCTCTCTATCTTTCTCTCTCTCTTTCTTTCCTTCTTCTTCTCTCTCTCTCTTTCTCTCTCTCTCTCTGTCTCGCCCTCTGTCTCTCTCTCTGTCTCTCTCTATAATGAGGGAGAGCTGCCCCATGGTCAGGTAAGACTATGGTGATTTTATATTTTAATCACAAGCTTAAAAACAGAAAGTGCTGGAGAAACTCAGCAGGTCTGGCAGCATCTGGGAGAGATAAACAGAGTTAACGTTTCGAGTCCAATATGACTCTTCTTTTAAACACAAAGACTCATTTCAGCATTTTTACTTCAGATTTCCGCAGTATTGTGCATTTTGTTCTAGTAATCCAGAGAGCGAGGTTAATGCTGTGGAGACTTGGATTCCAATCCCAGGACAGCTTTTGGAATTTAAATTCTATTAACAAACTCTGGTCTCAACGACGGTGAATGCTGGGTCTCGGTGATGGTGAAGGCCGGGTCTCGGTGATGGTGAAGGCCG